CCGATTGATGGTAAGTAACATACAGTATGTGCCAGGGGTGCCTCAAGATTTTGTGTACTTTTAAAATATACCATGACAGAATAAAAGTTGGGAAATGTTGGCATAGTGCACCACAGAGACCCAGTGATGACATCACTGACTAACAAATATGGTATGCAATTAAAATGGAAAGGTCTTATTTAATATAGTAATTAGCATGTCAATGATGGGGGAAAGGAGGAAACAAAAGGCAAAATATAAACAGATTAAACATCCGCTTTAAAGCCCATGGCAAAAAAAAAAAAAAAAAATATTCCTTTCAACCCACATTTGTGGATCAATCCCAGAAGAGGGACAAATGCCTAAAAAAAGTGTGATTTGGATCCATCAGATAGACTGACCCCCCCCCTCCCCCTCCCAAACTGGGGACCGTTGCAAGCATAAAACATAACTTGCATTTTATTTTGAATAATTGATTTCTATCACTGCGGCACTTTACAGCCTGTTCTGCTGCTTTTTTCGAGACGTGTGACACGGTTTGTGCATTTACTATAAAAAGAAAACATGCTTTTGCTCTGCTTGTTTTACACTTGAGAAGGCAGCTGTTCTCATGGGATAATGCTCTGTTAATGGTGCAGTGAGCTCCATCCATTTTAATTAAAAGTTAATCTGTCACCGGGAACTGTACACGCCGAAGCCTTCTCACAGGCTTTAAAATAACCCCCCCCCAAAAAAAAAAAAAAAAAAAAGGGGGGAGGGGAACACAAGGCTTTAAACACGATTCTCCGAAAAAAATAGCTGAGAACTATTCGGTCAAGCGTGTCTAGTTGCCAACATTTCAAGATGACTTCCCAAAAAAAAGCTGTTAGTTGGGCCAGTAAATCGCAGCCAAAATGTCTCAGAGGACCCCCACGATGTCACTGTCCCCAAAATATTAAAACGGTATTAACCACTTGCCCTCCAGAAGATTTACCCCCCTTCCTGACCAGGCCATTTTTTGCGTTACGGTGCTACGTTACTTTAACTGAGAATTGCGCGGTCATGCAACACTGCACCCAAATGAAATTTACGTCCTTTCTTTTCCCACTAATTGAGCTTTTTTACGGTGGTATTTGATCGCCTGTGCGGTTTTCATTTTTTTGCGCTATAAAAAAAAAAAGACCAACAATTTTGAGGAAAAAAACAATATTTTTGCTACTAACCCCAGAAACCACTAAACAGCTCATCCACTCCCTCATCATATCACGACTCGACTACTGCAACTCCCTCCTCACGGGCCTGCCTCGCCGCTGGCTATCCCCGCTTCAGTCGATCCTGAATACGGCTGCCAGACTCATTCACCTTTCCAACCGCTCCGTTTCCGCCACCCCCCTCTGCCAATCCCTCCACTGGCTTCCGATTGCACAACGGATCAAATTTAAAATCCTAACACTGACGTACAAAGCTGTCCACCATACTGCCCCGAACTACATCACTGACCTAATATCCAAGTACCGCCCAGCACGCACACTCCGCTCCTCACAAGACCTCCTTCTCTCTAGTTCCCTGGTCTCCTCCTCCCATGCCCGCCTCCAGGACTTCTCCAGGGTGTCACCCATCCTCTGGAACTCCCTGCCCCAACCAATCAGATTATCACCTACTCTCCTCTCCTTTAGGCGCACCCTGAAAACCCATCTCTTCAGGGAAGCCTACCCCACCCCCTGCTAACTTGCCGACCTCCTCCACTCTTCCTACCACCCCATCCCCCACAGCTATCTCCTCCTGTACCACCATCCCCTCCCTCCTAGATTGTAAGCTCGAAAGAGCAGGGCCCTCGATCCCCTCATGTTTTGCATTGTATTGGTATTGTTCTGTCACATGTTCTGTCCCCCTTTGTAATGTACAGCGCTGAGCGAACTATTGGCGCTTTATAAATACTGTATAATAATAATAATAATAATAATACTAAACATGTCCAGTAAAAAAAATGTAAAAAATCTAATTTCGGCATAAATTTAATCCAAAAAGTATTCTGCTCCATCTCCTAGATTGTAAACTCGAAAGAGCAGGGCCCTCGAACCCCTCGCGTATTGTTTTGTTACTGTCTTGTCTCATGTTCTGTCCCCCCTGCTACTGTACAGCGCTGAGCATACCCTTTGGCGCTATATAAATACTGTATAATAATAATAATAATGTCTTTGCTAAAAAAAAATCCCATTACGTGTAAATTAATTGGTTTACGTGAAAGTTATAGCGTTTACAAATGGCGATATAGATAATGAAATTGTTAAAAAATGTTTTACTAGTAATGGCGGCGATCAGCGACTAATATCCTGATGAAGTCACGTGGTATAGTGACGCAACTAGTAGATACGCCATGACACAGCTTCTGGTCCACGGTGATGTACATCCGGCGCGGACTCCATCTTGGCACACCCAGATGAGTCCTAACCCATGCAGTGTACCCATGCATGCAGTTTTTGCTGTACATTGCTGATATTTGAGCTTTTAACAAGTGAGTGGGCATTTTTTATCTATTAAAGAGGCTGCTTTTTGAGGAAAAAAACAATATTTTTGCTACTACACATGTCCAGTAAAAAAAATGTAAGAAATCTAATTTCGGCATAAATTTAGTCCAAAATGTATTCTGCTCCATGTCTTTGCTAAAAAAAATCCCAATACGTGTAAATTAATTGGTTTACGTGAAAGTTATAGTGTTTACAAATGGCAGTATAGATACTGGGATTGTTAAAAATGTTTTACTAGTAATGGTGGCAATCAGCGACTAATATCCTGATGAAGTCACGTGGTATAGTGACGCAACTCGTAGATACGCCATGACACAGCTTCTGTTCCGCAGTGATGTACATCCGTTGCGGGCGCCATCTTGGCACACCCAGATGAGTCCTAACCCATGCATGTAGTTTTTGCTGTACATTGCTGATATTTGAGCTTTTAACAAGTGAGTGGGCATTTTTTATCTATTAAAGAGGCTGATTTATACAATAATACTGCACTATGAAGGATCTTTTTTTCACTCATCATGGTTCATGGTGAGTGATATATCTAGCTGGTGAAACTGTCCTGAGAGGTCTTGAGTATTGATCACTAACCTGAGAAGGGATCCATAGAAGGAGTACTGAGGATACCAACCATTACTGGAGAAAGTTCTAGGAATGATCTTGGAGGCTTAGTGGCCTTTTGGGTCGCAGATTGAAGGTGAGGGAGCATTTTAGCCACAAGAGGATAAGTGTGTTGACACCATCACAGAAAATCGTCACTTTGCATCACTTTGCATGAGTTGTTGTTGCGTGGAGCACTAATTTGGAGGATTTATGAACCTTAATTTTCAATGGAAAGTTATCTGAAATTATATATTTGTATTTAAGTTGGTCACTTTATTGTGTTCACTGATCACTTTAAGTGTGTGGTCAGGGGCGGACTGACAACTCACGGGGCCCCCGGGCAATAGGGGATTATGGGGCCCCTGTGTCCTTGCCCAAACTAAAAAATAGCCTATGAAAAAGGTACCAGGGGCATCTAATGGGGCCCCCTACTGACCCCGGGCCCTCGGGCAGTGCCCGAGTTTCCAAATGGTAAGTCCGCCCCTGTGTGTGGTTTATATTGATACACATGTTGATGGATCATTAAGGCACAGGTTCTGAAGTTTTATATCAGGACTGTAGGTCACTTATTTATTGAACACTTGTATTTGTAGCACATTGTGGCACTTTATTTGTATATATATTTAGTGTGTTATCACTTCATTTAGTCACGTGTGGATTATTTACTTGATTATTTATATTATTTGATGTTGGGATAGTATTGTAGTAGCGCTGCACTACATCATTTATTTAGATCAGCGACTTATAGTGGGACTGCGACGGGCATTCTGACACTGGGGGGAACTGACTTGGTGTCAATGACATCCCCAGTGACACCAATACAGTGATCAATGGTAATAAAAAGCACTGACACTGTACTAATGGCACTAGGCAGGAAGGGGTTAACATCTGGGGTGATCAAAGGGTTAACTGTGTGCTGGTTGCCATTTTACATAATGTTCTGTGTTTGTGTTTCACTGTAAGCACACTGCTTTGCATGACTGTGCTGTGCAGAGCCATGCAAAGCAGTGTACAGGAGCTGACAGGGAGGAGAACTGTTTTGTTTACTAACAGTTCTCCCCCCCATCGGAGATCCTCGGCAATGACCGGGTGCCAGCGAGTAATCACTGGCCAGGACCCGGTGGTTGACAGCCGTGGCCGTGAATGGCCGCTTGGGTAGGGCGTGCACTCGCCTCCCATGTGCCCCCCTACACAGAAATGTATACGTGATTTTGCGACCGCTGCCGCCCCCTATAGTAGTATTTCTGCTATGGGGCATCGCTAAAGCAGTTAAACCCAAAAGCAAACATTGACTATATTGCAGCCAGGGGTGGACTGACCATTTGGAAACTCAGGCACTGCCCGAGGGCCCAGTGTCAGTAGGGGGCCCCATGAAATGCCCCTGGTACCTTTTTCATAGGCTTTTTTGAGTTTGGGCAAGGACATAGGGGCCCCATGATCCCTTATTGCCCGGGGGCCCCATGAGTTGTCAGTCCACCCCTGATTGCAGCTTACCAATTCTAGATGTGATGGCTGCATTAGTTATCTTTTTTTATGCTTCCTTTCTTTCTTCTGTATTCATCAGGTGATTTGCCCAGCAAGTCTGTTGTTTTTCAAAAGAACAAACTCTCCAGCAGAATGTATCAGTTACAGGGATGAGACAACCAATTAGCACTGACAGGGATGCTTACATTGATCAGCTTTTTTTTATCCATGTAAAACCTTGATCCCAAAAGTATAACAATGTTTTCCTTAACTGATTATCCAGTTCACGACTGCCTTATAGCAAAATTACTGTTACAGGGTGGCCTATCTGTGCAAAATCAGGTATATATACATGATTCTGCACTTCCTGGTTCAGGGGGCGCACGCGTGATCCCGGCGCGCCACTGTTTCCGTAATTAGTCACAGCAGAAGTCGATCAGCATGTGCCGGCCAATGATGACTGCCGGCACCTGCTGATTGGCAAGGAGAGAGACAGAACAGAGCTCTGTAAACAAGGCAGAGCTACGTCCTGTCAGTAGTGATGTGCTGGATTTTGTTTCTCCGCAAAGCAGGGAATAAAATCCAGCACACCCCGTAGTAAAAACACATAAAAGTAAACACAAAATTACTGGTTAGGCACACAGTTAACCCTTTGATCGCCCTAGATGTGTAACCCCCTTCCCAGCCAGTGTCATTAGTACATTGACAGTGTATATTATTAGCACTGATCACTGTATTAGTGTCATTGGTTCCAATACTCTGGTTTCTCTTCAGATCGTATAAATCTTTCGCCTTTTAGTATCATTGGTTCCCACAAAGTGTCAGTTAGTGTCAGATTGTCCACCGCAATATCACAGTCCTGCTATAAGTTGCTGATCGATGCCATTACTAGTATGAAAAAAAAAAATACAGTATATATACCATAGTTTGTAGATGCTATAACGTTTGCACAAACCAATCAATATACGCTTTTTTGGTATTTTTTTTTTTATACCAAAAATATGTAACAGAATACATTTTGGCCTACATTTATGAGGAAATTAGATTTTTAATTTTATTTTGCATGTTTTATAGCAGAAAGTAAAAAATATTGGGTTTTTTGTTTCAAAATTGTCGGTCTTGTTTTGTTCAAAAGTAAAAAAAAAACCCAGAGGTGATCAAATACCACAGAAAGAGAGCTCTATTTGTGGGAAAAAAATGACATTAATTCAACTTATATACAGTGTTGCATGACTGCTCAATTGTCAGTTAAAGTAACGCAGTGCTGTATAGCAAAAAAATGGCCTGGTCAGGAAGGGGGGGGGGGGTAAATCTTCGAGAGGGTAAGTGGTTAGAAAGTGTTAGCTGGAGTTTGGCTTCAGTTTGTTAGTACAGTTGCAAGAAAAAGTATGTGAACCCCTTGGGATTACGTGGAGTTTTGCATGAATTGGGCATAAAATGTGCTCTGAACGTCATCTAAGTCACAACAATAGAAGAACACAGTCTGCTGAACATAATACTACACAAACATTAGATGTTGCCATGGTTTAATTGCACATAACATGTAAACATTCACAGTGCAGGGAGGAAAAAGTATGTGAGGCCCTAGGTTAATGACTTCTCCTAGAGCTAACTGGAGCCAGGAGTGAGCCAACCTTGACTCCAATCAGTGTGATGATATTGGATGTGTTGCTGACAGCTGTCCTGCCCTTAAAAAACACACACCTGTTTTGGGTTTACTGGTTTCAAGAAGCACTGTCTGATGTGAACCATGACTCGCAGAAAAGAGCTCTCAGAAGACCTACGATCAAGAATTGTTGACTTGCATGAAGCTGGAAAAGGTTACAAAAGTATCTCCTTGAGCCTTGATGTTCATGTGTCCACGGTAAGACAGACTGTCTACAAATGGAGAAAGTTTAGCACTGTTGCTACTCTCCCTAGGCGCGGTCGTCCTGTAAAAATGACTGCAAGAGCACAGCGCAGAATGCTGCATGAGGTAAACAAGAATCCCAGAGTGTCAGCTAAAGACCTACAGAAATCTCTGGCACATGCTAACATTTTTGTTGACACATCTACAATAAGGAAAACATTAAACAAGAATGGAGTACATGGGAGGACACCACGGAGGAAACCATTGCTGTCCAAAAAGAATATTGCAGCACGTTTGAAGTTTGCAAAAGAGCACCTGGATGTTCCACAGCACTACTGGCAAAATATACTGTGGGCAGATGAAACCAAGATTGAGTTGTTTGGGAAGAACACACAACACTATGTGTGGAGAAAAAAAGGCACAGCACACCAACATCAAAACCTCATCCCCACTGTGAAACATGGCGGAGGGAGCATCATGGTTTGGGGCTGCTTTGCTGCCTCAGGGCCTGGACGGATTGTTGTCATTGATGGGAAAATTAATTCCAGAGTTTATCAAGACATTTTGCAGGAAAACGTACGACCATCTGTCCGCCAACTGAAGCTCCGCAGAGGATGGGTGATGCAACAGGACAATGACCCAAAGCATACAAGTCATTCAACAAAACAATGGCTGCAATAGCACAGAATACGCCTTCTGTAGTGGCCCAGTCAGAGTCCTGACCTCAACCCGATTGAAATGCTGTGGCATGACCTTAAGAGAGCGATTCACACCAGACATCCCAAGAATATTGCTACACTGAAACAGTTTTGTGAAGAGGAGTGGTCCAAAATGACTCCAGATCGTTGTGCAGGTCTGATCTGCAACTACAGGAAACGTTTGGTTGAGGTTATTGCTGCCAAAGAAGGGTCAACCAGTTATTAAGTCCAAAGGTTCACATACTTTTTCCTCCCTGCACTGTGAATGTTTACATGTTATGTGCAATTAAACCATGGCAACATGTAATGTTTTGTGTAGTATTATGTTCAGTAGACTGTGTTCTTCTATTGTTGTGACTTAGATGATGTTCAGAGCACATTTTATGCCCAATTCATGCAAAACTCCACGTAATCCCAAGGGGTTCACATACTTTTTCTTGCAACTGTATATGTAAATCTGCTAGTGCATCTAACACTCCCTCCCCCTGACAATGCTGCTGTCCATAGGTGTCCACTATGCTCCTTCATCCAGAGTGGGGGACGCTCTAATACAGGAGGTGTGTTACTGGCCAGATCACCAGGTGAAAAGAGAGAGAAAAAAAAAAAAGGCTAAAAAAAGAAAACTAATGCAGCCACCACATCTAATGACTGGTAATCTGTAATACTGTATATTACATTTATTGGTTTGGGGTTTACCAGCGCTGTAAGTGTCATACATTGATTTATACAATCAATTCTTCATTTAGTCTTTAGGTAATGTTAAAGTTGAACTCCAGACTCAAATGTTCCTTTAAATAAATTTCTCAATAGAGGATGTAAATCCACTTTGCATGTGCCAAACGTCTTTTGCAAACCCAAATATTACCTAGTAGTGACATCACACCACTGCGCTGTACATAGCCTGTGCTGAGAGCAGAGCAGTAGGAGAGGCCCACCAGACTCCACCCACTTCAGGCTGCCTGTAGAAAACTACAGGAGGGGGTGGAGACAAGACCAGTCCCCCTGCACAAGGAGAGCGAGCAGCAGTGAGCGGTCTTTATTACAGGAAGGGAAAGCCTTACGCTGGATTCCTGCACAGATGTGGAAGAAATACACAAAGCTCACACCAAAAGGGTCGAGTATCTAGATGCTCATCCCTATATTAATGCATGTACCCAAAGAACCCCCAGTGGGACTTTAATGCAGCAAAAGGATCATACAGGGGTGGACTGACAACTCATGGGGCCCCCGGGCAATAGGGGATCAAGGGGCCCCTGTGTCCTTGCCCAAACTCAAAAAAAGCCTATAAAAAAGTACCAGGGGCATTTCCTGGGGCCCCCTACTGACCCCGGGCCCTCGGGCAGTGCCCTAGTGCTCAAATGGTCAGTCTGCCCCTGGATCATACATATATTGAGAGAGACATTTGGTTAAAAAAGATTTTTATCAACTTTATTACATACACATTTCCATTGTACTATTGAATACATCATTTCTAAAAAGAATATTGCTCTGACAAATATTGTCTTTTTCAATATACATATGATCCTATTGCTGCATTAAAGTCCCATTGGGGGGTTCTTTGGGTCCATATACAAAGCTCACCAAGATTCAAGGAAGAAAGCACATGATGAATGGATACAGGGCAGGGTCACACTATAGAAACGCAGTCCAGATGCATTCTGGATGCGTTTCTTCACATGTGTTTTTGACGCATTCCAGTTCATTTTTTTCCCCTCTTTTTCTTCAATTTAAATAGGGACATGTGCATTGCAGTGTGTTTTTGATGTGTTTTTACCGCGTTCCAGTACAGTTCTGTGCAGAGAAAAAATGCAGTATGTTCTACCTCTTTTTCTGCAATCAGAACGCATGTGAACTGCAAGCACTGATGTGAACTATGGCATTAACAACCATATCACCTACTTTCTGTGTGTTTTGGATGCAGAAAAAAAGCAACTGAAACGCATGGTGTGTGAACTGACCCTTAGACCATATTTGCTTTTCCTGGAGTTCATCTTTAAAGCGGAGTTCCACTCACCCTGTCAAAAAATAAAAGGCAGCAGCTACAGTTTTTAGCTGCTGACTTTTAAAAAACTGCCACTTACCTGTCCCATGGTCCCACGGTGTCCTCCCCGTAGCTCATTTCACCAGCCGTCCTGTATTCCAGGAGGCCGGCATCTTCAGTGTGGGCACCTGCCTGTGCAGCTTGCGACTTCACAGCCGGGTGCCCATTGCGCATGCGCAAGTAGCACTACGCTTCATGAATGGTCCTGTAGTCTTCTGGGACCTGTCACGTGTCCCACAAGACTACAGGGAGGGAGAGAGGGAGGACACCTTCCGCTTCCGATCGCCTAGGCGATCGCAGCGGAAGTGGGAGCGGGTGTCACGATCGCACGGTCGCCGCCACCAACATGCGACAATCGCACGACCGCGACTAACAGTAATACGTCACGCCCGCGACGTCAGACCCCAGACCTTCTCACCAACTCGTGACCGAAGGACTGGCCGATCTAAAACCGCGGTGTGACGCACGTAACAAGCCCCACCCAGCTGCACCTTGCACAGCGATTGTCCAGCTAATGGGCTACAATCGGTGCCTGCAGCCTGAATGCGCTTGTTACTGGGTCGGGTTAATTACGCAACTAACCCTTCTACTGCCACCACCACTTTTGTCGGAGACTGGGAAACTCCCGTAATCAAATATACACTATAATGATTGAAAAGTCGCCTGTCCAATACGGTCACCGCAGGCCGATTGGGCAGAGGATTAAACAAACACAGTAGCGTCTCTTCAAAGGCAGGAATTTGTGAATTGCAAGTAAGTGCTTAGAAACAGTTTAACACTTTCAGAAAGAAAGATTTATTACTAAAAGAGTCAAACAGGTGCAATAAAATATTTACAAAGAAAATGTAACTATATATATATATATATGCATATAAAGGTACAGCAAAGAGATAATAGGAAGGAAATTAAAGGGTTAAGTTACTTGCCAATATGCCTTGGTTTGTAAGCAGATCCAAGTGCAGAGCAGGAAAGGTCTTTGATCTCCTCTGTTACGATGTTTAACTCAGGAGATGTGTGTGTTCAAC